ATTTATTTATTTATTTATTTATTTATTTATTTATTTAATTTTACATGCCAGTCCCAAGTCTCCCTACCTCTTCTCCTCCCGCTCCCCCCATCTTCCCCCTACCCTACTTCCCATCTGCTCCTCAGAGAAGGGTAAGGCCTCCCTGGGAAGTCAACTAAGTCTATTCCATCACCTTGTTGAGACAGGGCCAAGTTGTGCCTCACCCCCAGTGCCTAGGCTAGCAATGTATCTCTCGTAGAGAATGGGTCCCCACAAAGCCAGTTTATGCATTAGCATTAGATCCTTATTCTTGAAATAGTAAAAAAAAAAATTTGTGTGTGTGTGTGTGTGTGTGTGTGTGTGTGTGTATCATGTGTGGGTACCAGAAGGGGGTATCAGATCCCCTGGAGTTGTTACAGGTATTTGTGGGCCATATGATGTGGGTGCTGGGAACTGAACTCTGGTCTTCTGCAAGTGCAGCAAATGCTTAGCTGGTGAGACATCTCTCCAGCCTCCAAAGCTCAATTTTTTAAATAGCTATAGTTGAGGTTGATTTCTTCTTTGTTCTTAGAGTTTTGGAAGAGGATTCTGTAATAACAGTGAAGTTTTTCATTATTGATGCCCCTCACACACATTGTTATGAATGCTTGCATGGTGTGTTAACCTAAGTTCTCTTCTTCAGGATCCCCATTTTTTTCTTTGCCATCAAAGCAGTCAAAATTTAGAGAAATGTGTAAGTCTGTAATTACTGTTGTGACTTTTGTCAGTTGCTTCTGCATTTCAATTAGGTTTTGAGCTGTGTGTTGTGATTTAATTATATTGATATTACATTTCCTTTTGTTTGAACCAGCTTTTGTTCTCCCTTTTCATACTTTGAGTAGCATCTTTCCACCCTAGATGTCTTGTTCATCCCTTAATGTGGAGGTCAGCTAGTTCTAGGGTGGGCCAGTGTAGCTTAGGTAGCTAGCTTGCTCTTAGTGAGAGTGTAGTTGTCATTATAGAACCTTCATCCAGTAACTGAGGGAAGCAGATGCAGAGATCCACAGCTAAGCACTGGGCCAAACACCTGGAATCTAGTCATAAACAGGGAGGAACGATATTATGAGCAAAGGGACTAAGACTGTGATGGGGAAACCCACAGAAGCAGCTGACCCAAGCAAGTGTGAGCTCACTGACTCCAGACTGACAGGTGGGAAACCAGCATAAGACAAAGTAGGGCCTCTGAATGTGGGTGACAGTTGTGTGGCTTGGGCAGTTTATGGGGCCACTAGCAATAGAACAAGATTTATCCCTAATGCATAAACTGGCTCTTTGGAGCCCATTCCCTATGGAGGGATACCTTGCTCAGACTAGATACAGGGGGAGGGCCTTGGTCCTGTCTCTGGTGATGTGACAGGTGACAGACTTTGTTGACTGTCCATGGGAGGCCTCACCCTCTCTGAGGAGTGAATGGGGTGTGGGGTGGGGAGAAGGTAGGGGAGTTGAAGGATGGGAGGGAGAGGGAACTGGGATTGGTATGTGAAATAAGATTGATTTAAAAAAAACAAGTTGGAAGCTTTTTCTATGATTAGGATTTTACAATTTATTACTATTAATTTAAGTCTTAAAATTTGGATTGAAGATTTAGTTTAAGAGCCTTTAGCATCAAATATAAAACTTATATAAATAAATACAGTCTCCCCCCCCCCCAAAAAAAAGAAAAGAAAAGAAGCAGGTAAAAGTTCCCTTGTAGAAGAGTGCCAGCAGTGTTTCTCAGCTAGGTTCTGGAAGTATATTCTTCCAAAAGGCTTATATACTAATCAGCTACAGATTAAAGATAAATGATCGAGGAAGTTTTAAATTAGAGGGTGATAAAGTTTGGGCTTCAAACTCATTTAGGCATTTCTAGCATGGCAATCTAAACTACCTTGAATTCATGCTTTTGCATCTTAGAGAATTTAAGGCATTAATGTGGAAATGTTTTTTTTAATTTTTTTTTTTTTTTCTTTTTGAGACAGGATTTCTCTGTATAACAGCCTTGGCAGTCCTGGAACTCACTCTGTAGACCAGACTGGCCTCAAACTCACAAAGATCTGCCTGCCTCTGGATTAAAGGTGTGCACCACCACTGCCTGGCTATATTTTTGAATTTTTTATATTTGTGTGTTTGTGTTGTGTACATGCGCATGTTCATGCACATTCCATAGTATGCCTGTGGAGGTCAGGGGATAACTTGTGGGAGCTGGTTTTCTCTTTCCACTTTATGGGTTCCAGGGATGGAACTCAAATCATCAGGCTTGGCAGGAAGTTCCTTTTCACACTGAGCCATTCATTTGCCCCTATGGAAATTTTTTTGAGTAGGATCAGTTAATGAAATTTCATTTTAGTTCAGAAATCCCTGTGGACATTTCAGATGATATATCCTGTTTCCTCTGTGGAGCACAGGGCACTACTCTGGCAAGCAAGCATATTAACATATATTATTTTATTTAAAACTTCCCTATTTTCTAAACTTTATGATGATTGACTTTTAGAAAATGGAAGCTTGCTGGGTGTAGTGATGAACACTTTTAATATCAGCACTGGGAAGGTAGAGGCAGGTAGAGCTCTATGAGTTTGAGGCCAGCCTGGTCTACATAGCAAGTTCTAGGCCAGTCGGGTACATGATGAGACCTTGTCTAAAAACAAGCAAGTAAGCAAGCAAGCAAGCAAGCAAGCAAGCAGCCAAAAATAACAAAGACAGAAATGGAAATGGTACTGGTAAGTTACTAAATGGGTAATATCATCAAAATAAAACCCAAACCTGCCTGCCTGTCTGTATCACTTTTCCTATAGGCATGCCTTTCATCTTTCATTATTGCCATTTTCTGGCTCTCTGTAAGGTACTTCCTTTGTTTGTTGGTAAACTCCCTTGCTCTACATTGCTGATATTTTAGGATAGAAGGTAAGAAATGATGTTTCTGTGTGTTAAGGTTATATTGACTTGTTCAGCTGTTTGGGTGTGTAGAGATAGTAAAAGCAATAGAGAAATTTAGAAAATATTTAGGATTAAAATGAACTGGATCCTATTCAGTATATTTTTATGAGTTTCAAAAGCTGTCTTTCCTATAGCTCAATAGGTACCAGATTGTCACACTGTCACCTAAAGATTGTTTTTTATTAATTAATTAATTAATTTATTTATTAAAGATTTCTGCTTCCTCCCCGCTACCACCTCCCAATTTCCTCCCCCTCCCCCAGTCAAGTTCCCCTCCCTCATCAGCCCAAAGAGCAATCAGGGTTCCCTGCCCTGTGGGAAGTCCAAGGACCACCCACCTCCTTCCAGGTCTAGTTAGGTGAGCATCCAAACTGCCTAGGCTCCCACAAAGCCAGTACGTGCAGTAGGATCAAAACCCATTGCCATTGTTCTTGAGTTCTCAGTAGTCCTCAATGTCCGCTATCTTCAGAGAATCCGGTTTTATCCTATGGTTTTTCAGATCCAGGCCAGCTGGCCTTGGTGAGTTCCTGTTAGAACATCCCCATTGTCTCAGTGTATGGGTGCACCCCTCGCGGTCCTGAGTTCCTTGCTTGTGCTCTTTCTCCTTCTGCTCCTAATTTGGACCTTGAGATTTCAGTCCGGTGCTCCATTGTGGGTCTCTGTCTCTGTCTCCTTTCATCGCTTGATGAAGGTTAATATCTAGGAGGATGCCTATATGTTTTTCTTTGGGTTCTCCTTCTTATTTAGCTTCTCTAGGACCACAAATTATAGGCTCATTGTTCTTTATTTATGGCTAGGAACAAATTATGAGTGAGTACATCCCATATTCCTCTTTTTGGGTCTGGCTTACCTCACTCAGAATAGTGTTTTCTATTTCCGTTCATTTGCATGCAAAATTCAAGAAGTCATTGTTTTTTTACTGCTGAGTAGTACTCTAATATGTATATATTCCATA